CTGTGAGTCTACATCGCCTCCGTGCAGAGGCCGGGTTGCTAAACGCCAGCCACAGAGGACAGTGGGAAATGGAGCCCACGGAGCAGGGAACACGAACAGCAGGTGTGTCCTCATGGACATGCAAACCTGCTGCCAGTTCATTTAAAAAGTAAGTGGCACAACCACAGGCATAGTAGTTCACCTTTAAAATGTACATGGGTATATGTGTGTGTGCACAGAAAAAAATACTCCAAATGTGATCCATGATTTGTTACCTCAGGAGGTAAACTTTGCATTTTTTATACTTTTCTAAATAGTACTCATTTCCTTTGACGACCAAAAGCAAACCAAACTCACTGCCATCGAGTCAATGCCGACAGACTCACAGGACAGGGCAGAACTGCCCCTGTGGGTTTCCAGGACTGGAACTCTTTAGAAGCAGGAAGCTGGTAGCCTGTGGGGCAGTGTGACGCTCCTGGTCTCCTAGTCTAAGGCAAGGAGACAGGAGGAGAGGGCAGGCAGCCAGCTCTGGTAACCAGAGCTCCAGGCAGGGAGGAGGCAGCCGGGCCAGCTTCTCGCCCTTTACAGCATTTCAGTTCTCCAACCAGAAAACGTAAAACCACGCAAAGTTTTACCACCAGAGATAACTAACCACAGACATCATTTGGAGTATATTTTTCTAGATTTGTTTCTGCGCAGATACAAATAGTCTAAGTCCACCTTTAAAAAAACAAACATCCCAGAGGGTATGAATTAACCTTTTAAAAAATGATCCCTATGAGGGGGCTTTAAAAGTCCAGGGAAAGTTTCCATTATCTTTGAGTTCTGCTTTCCACAAACTTTTTGAAGCCCCTCCCCCCTACATAATTTTTAAGCAGTGCTGAGAGGGGTCACCCTCCGCGTGGTTTCTAAAGCAATAGGATCCTCTGCTAGAAGAAACGGAACTTTCCCACCCAGTATCAGTAGTTCTGTTCCTAAAAGTCCGGCATTTGCTGCAAACACAAGGAATAAACAACCAAGTGTCTATTTTTCATTATTTTAAGTTTAATAAATTATAAAGTACCCTATGTTGACTCCAACCCTCATATCAATCTCCTACATTCTAACCAAAACCGTAAAACCTTATAAATGCTCGGAGCAGAATATAAAATGGTTAAACATCACTCCTTGGACACCAAATAATGATTAAGGTCATTGCATGCGGTAGCTAACTGCTGCTGTGTGGGGTAAACTGACCGGGGCTGGCTCTTAGCTCCTGCAACATCTGAGCTGCCCAGCCCTCTGGTGACCCTCAGCTCCCCATTCAAAACGTCTACACGGGAGGCTGGCGGTCTTCCAGGTGCATTTAGAATTAACTGGAGCGTTGCTCTGCACATCCTTGTGTTACAAATGGACCGAGTTTGGGGTTGTAAGTAAGATGGATGCTCTATCAGGAAAGCACAGGGTGAGAAGAGGTTTGGAGAGAGAGGTGTGTTCTGAGAAGTTTAGGTTTTAGGAGCTGAGAAGCATGACCTGGGAAGACATTGGTGAGGCAGGCTTGACACTCTGTGAAAACCAGGGGATCCCCCAAATTGTTCTTTGGAAGTTGGCGGGGGTGCAGAGGTTGGAAGGCGAGGCTTCGAGTTGCATCTGCATTTTGCACGTCCAAAGACGAAGCTGCTACTGTTGGCTAGGAGAGGCCTCCCCGTGGCTGGTGAGGCTGGCTGTGGGGAGGAATCCCGCAGTAGCAGGGGCAGCATGGACACCACTAGGGCTATCGGTAAGACAGCCAACATAGAAAGCTCCTAGGGGGAGGGAGCATTAGAACGGACTGTGATGATGTATATACGACTCTTTCAAAAAGCAATTTAACTATGGAAGTGTATGAAATGTGAATATTGTGTCAAGAAAATTATTTTTTTAAAAGGAAAGAAGCCAAACTTGACTTAGGGTTACCGTGGGAGAAAGAGGAAGAGTTTTTGCTTAGGGGGCAAAGAGTTTATTTTACTGGTGGTGGAGCAGTTTGGAGAGGGATATCAATAATGGTTGTACAATACGAAGAATATAATCAATGGCACTGAAATATACATATAAAAGTTGTTAAATTGGAAAATGTTTCCTGGTGTATATTTTTGCTAAAATTGAAAAAAAAAAATACCACTGACGACAAGGAAGAAGGAAATGTTCTAAGATTGATTGTGGTAAAGACTGTATAACTCTTCTTGATAGGGCTGAACTATTGAATCGTATGATATGTGGGTGAAGTGGGAAAAAAACTGTTAAAAATCAAAATCAAAACAAAACAAAACAAAAAATTGAGTGCTCA